GGATGTTTTTTATGGTCTAAAGAGCTTGGTACGGTTGCACATGGACCACAATCAAATTGAATTTGTAAATCCCAACGTTTTCTATGGACTCACATTGCTGAGGCTGGTCCACCTGGAAGGAAATTTACTTAAGCAGCTTCACCCAGATACTTTTGTCACCTTGCGCTACAGCCAGATATTTAAGATATCCTTCATCAAGCACATATATTTGTCTGACAACGCGCTGCTGTCACTGCCACAAGACATGCTTTCCTACATGGCCGAGCTGGAGAGCCTCTACCTGCACGGAAACCCCTGGTGCTGCGACTGCAGTCTGCAGTGGTTGGCAGAGTGGGCAACGCAGAGAGCAGGTGAGCGGAGGGCTTGCTTTGTGCTTTTCTGTCATGTTATGGCATCTTATTCTTTCTGATAAAGTTAACTGTGCTTTATTTATTCTCCCAGAAAAGACTGGAAGATGGGATTTTTGGAGGTGCATGTAATTGGGATAAGCAAATGACTACCATTGAGTGTCCCAAGTTAGATGAATTCAGTGGTATTAGCCCAAGTCGGAGAAGATTCATTGGTTTTCTTAGGTTCCTTTAGGTTTTCACAGGGTACTTTAAGATAAACATTGTTAATTGTTTATTCAAGATATCAACTTGCTGGTAGCTATATGTCTTTTTTAATACTAAAAATTGTACCACAAAAACTTACTGTGTTTTTCTATCCCTTCAGACATTATAAAGTGCAAAAAAGACCGAAGCTCCGGTGCCCAGCAATGCCCAGTTTGTGCCAGTCCCAGGAGTCGCCGTGGGAAAAGCGTGGTGGATCTCCCTGCTGCAGCCCTAACCTGTGCTAAGCCAGCCATACAAGATGCCCTGAAACTTGAAAACGTCACCATGCCAGAGGACGGGGAGCTCCATCCTGTCTCTCCCAGGGACTTCATGGCTCCCATAGGATCCGTGGTTCTGAACATGACTGACCAAGCGGGAAACCGAGGTAACTTGGCTTGCAGTGTCCAAAAACCAAAAGAAATGTCTCCCATCTCATTTGACAAAGAAGGCAACAGTACAGTACTCAAAGCATCATTCTCAGCGTTTCTCATGTGTGGCATCGATTATGAACACATTCAGCAGCTCTGGAGCATCCTGGCACTGTACAGTAACTCGCCTTTAAAACTGGAGAGGAACACCCTAGTAACTAACATGCCTTTTACTAGCTACAAGTATAAACAAATCTACTCTGATAAAGATGAACTTTTTACCAATACAGAGGCTGAACTGAGAGCTGAACCACCATGGTTAATGCAGAGCAAGGTAGCATTACAGCTGGACAGGACAGCGACCACACTGAACATGCTGCACATCCAGTACTTCACTGATGCTCAGATTGTTCTGCCCAGCACTGACAAGAGCCAGGACAGAAATACCTGGGTCATCATCTCCAGAGACAACACCACCCAGACGGAGCACACCGTGCTGGTCGGGGGCACCGTGGAGCTGCCGTGCCGAGCAGTGGGAGAACCGGCCCCCGCCGTGGAGTGGATATTGGCTGACGGGAGCAAGGTCCGAGCCCCCTACGTCAGTGAGGACGGGAGAATCGTGGTGGTTAAATCGGGAACATTCACCCTGCGGACAGCTGATGCTTTTGACTCTGGGCTCTATCACTGCATAGGCACAAACTACAACGACGGAGATGCCCTCACATTTAGAATTACTGTGGTGGACCCTTATGAGGAGCACAACAGCGCAAATGGAGCCCAGCTTTCTGCCTTTGTCGGCAGCATGCTCTACCTGCCCTGCACATCCACTGCCGTTCCAGATGCTGCCATCAGCTGGGTGTTACCTGAGCACACGATTCTGCATCATTCTGAAGGAAACAAACATGTTTTTGACAACGGCACCTTGAGAATACAAGGGGTGACAGAGCGAGACAGTGGCTACTTCAGGTGTGTGGCAGCCAACCCGTACGGTGTTGATATTTTGGTTTTCCAAGTGCTGGTCAGAAAGGATGAAACCACTCTAAAGAAAACACAGGCAGCTGGGGGAGAATGGGCAGAGGGCGATGGCTCTGGCCATGCAGTGCCGGCCTCTGCTACGACACAGATGCACTCATTAGCTCCTCCACCCACCTTGACAGCTCCTTGGGAATCTGCTGTCTCCGCGGCCAGGAACCAGGTGGCACAGAGTGCGCGTATGAGGAACCGCTATAGGAAGGTGACATACAGGCACTACCAGGACAGAGCGGGCAGACGGTTCAGAGGGCACAGGAGGCAGTTCGTCTCCTCGGCCAGGAGAGTCGATCCACAGCGCTGGGCAGCCTTGCTGGAGAAAACCAAGAGGAACTCCACATCAACAGGAAAACAAGTTGCAACCAAACCACCTGTTCAAGTCCGCAAGTTCTCAGAAGCGCCTGGGGATGAGGAGGAAACGTCTGGTGATATCGTATCTCCAGAGGAAGAATTCATGATACCGGTAACAAGGACAGCGGTACCTGCGCTGGGCAGAGCAATGAAGAGCGTGGTAACTGCAGGGCCTGGGGCGGCCACGAGCAATGCTGCTGCTGGGAAAGGCTCTCTCCTGGTTGCAGAGGCAGGGACGCCCCTACCCTCTCCCTTCTCACAGTCTGTGCCATCTGGTTTAAGTCAGGTATCAGCAAATGGTATAAAACCGTCATCAGCTGTATCATATGCAGCAAGGAGAACACCTACACTCTCCACTGCTGGGCAAGGGTTGGTGTATTCTGGGGAAAGCAATAACCAGCACGTAAAATCTGTATCCATGGCACCCGTGACAGAAGTTACAGACACCAGCAAGTCCGTAACTTCCCAAAACGCAGCGGACGAGCTCCATGTTTTTACTGAGTCTATTGATAAGATTTCCACCAAAACAGATCCTCAGTTGTCTGTAGTGGCTGTCAGTGAACCAAGTCCTGGATTTGATCGCATTTATTTCCACAGTACTCACAAACAAGTAACTCCTAGGCTGCCATTGGCCTCAACTGCCATTAATGATCAGCAAGTCCAGATTGTCCAGGATTTTCCAACTCAGACACCCCCACCACAGCAGCAATATGGGAGACGAAGGAAAATTTCTGGTAGGAGACGAATTGTTAGACCAGGACGGATTCCAGGTATGAAAGAGCACAAGTACAACTTAGGGAGAAATAGCACAGCTGTGGCTGCAGGTGTTCAACTGAATATGAAGTATGTATCAAATTTACCAACCTTAAATAATATCAGCAGCTCCATCAACCTAATGAGCCCAGAAGCACCGTTGTCCTCTCCCTCCACCATGAATATGCCCCTGGAGCACCCAGCGGGCACTCAGCAAAGCACAGCATTCCCCAGGGAAAATGAAGCCAGTGCAAGGCACAAAACCACAACCACAGCCATGTCTTTCACTGCCAAGAGCGCCCACGATACCCCTCAAGGGACGTCAGGGACCAGCGCTGCATTTCAGGCAAACACTAACAGAGTCCAATCCTCCAGCGTCAGACTGCCAACAGCGGCAACCCACACAGCTCTTGCTGCAACAGGAATCACACAAACCAAAACCACTGAGACATCTTCTGCCCTTGAATCGGTCACACACAGCAAGCTACCAAACCAGCAGACAGATGTGTTTCCATCACCAGAGGTACCAACTGCGCTTCCTAAAACCACAGCAGGGTTATCCCTGTCCAAAGTGTCTCCTTTGCGCTTTACACCTGTTTCAACAGGTGAGAATCACAGCAGTGCTTTCTTGTCTTTAAACAAACCCATTCCTTATGGCAATGGCAATGGTAATTTAGAAGAACATCTTCCCACTGCAAAACCACATTCTTACTCTAATCTTGCAACTGGCGCAACCAAAGAAATGGATGTAACGAGTTTGAAGCCACCAGTTATACCTATTATTACTCTTCAGACTGACACCAAAATCACCAAAAGCAAAGTATTCAGAGTGGGGAGAAAGAGAGGTCAGAGGAGGAGGAGGCCCCCTAAAATTTCGCCTTCACAAAGCACGACTGCAGGTTATGGCACCACGGTGAGTCCATTGGCAATCACAGCCACAGCTGTCATGACACCTAAATCAATAATGACACCTGTGAACCTCACATCTGCAGATCCTCTGACTGAGAGCACAGCCCTGGGGACAGAAACACGAGTGCTGTGGATCCCCACCATCACGGGGACACCTCAGCACATGTCCACAACAGCCCCTGTCACACATGGGAATGTCCCTCCAGCTCCGTCACCACCCCAAAGCCAGCCTGTGCAGAGATCCCCCCCGCCAGCACAGACCCTGCCACCGCCCTCACAGATGCTGAGCACCACCAGCACGCAGCCTGCAACAGCCTCGGCTGCACCCACCCCAGAACCTGTGTGGCAGAGCAAAGCTCCCACCACAGCAGGTGAAGAATCACATCTGACAGTGGGCATTATCCCTGAAAACCGCATGACACAGCCCATGCTTCCTGCAAGACCCGAGCTGAGTGCTCCTGCTGCAGCCAGTGACACTGTTTGGCCCCACGCTCCGCGTCCCACCCCACTGCTAGCCCCTGCTCCAGTCACCAGGAGAGGTAACGTGGTACCCGTCACCACACCACGGTCACCACCGCTGGGCTCTCCATATGCTGTTCTGCAGGGAAGGGACGAGGACAAGGCTGAGAAGAGATCAGATCAAGAGACCACCACCACCAGCCCTAAAGCCTCAGACTCTCTGAGCAGGAATCATTTTGCAAAGCCCAGAATAATTGGGGGAAGATGGGCTGCTTTCACTGTGCTGGCTGGTTCAGATGCCTTCATTCCTTGTGAAGCTACTGGAGACCCCCGACCAACAATACAGTGGACCAAGATATTGCCAGGTAAGCTTGGTAAACCTCTCTAGAACAGACCTGCTGCTGTAGTCTTGTAATGTGGCAGATGTTTTGTGTGCCAAGCTCAAGTATTGCTTCATTTCGGAGTATCTAAATGAACTATCAGAGAAAAGATGA